GGTGCCCTCCTGCTGCTCGGCTCCTCCGAAAGCCTCTCATTAGAGTTTCTAATGTGTCAGATAATGGGAACTTAATGGGATTATTTTGTTGTTTTTTCACCAGCCCAGCTGCCCCCAGGGGCACTGCCCAGGGGCATCCTGAGGCGGGAGAGGGTGGCCCGGGGCCTGCCCACGTGACCTCAGGAACACGTCCATGCTCACGGCCTCCTTTTCTTTCCTCTTATGCCAGCTTTCCGTCACTGGCCACCCTGGTGACCACTTTGGACCGTCCTGTCTCCTCACCAACTTTTAGAGAGAAACCTCTTTAACAGTCGTCAGCCGACTCAGCGGTTAGTCCTGAGCAAGTGGAGACTCGGGCAGCGGCCGCTCCTCGGCTCCTTACCTAGTCTGCCGTCATCCACTCCCTGGTTCTACTCTAAGGCTCCGACCTTCCAAGGGCATTGCAAGACCCAAACGACTGGGACATTACGTATGATCCACCCTCAGAGGACTTGAATGACATCAATAAATATTTGTGGAGGCCATGAGGCCTTGGGGAGCCGAAGACATCATTCTTGTGCTCTGCCAAAGCTCTGGCCTTCTCCTCAATGAGCAAATGTCAGTTTGTTTGTTTTTGTGTTGGTAAGTGGCGGTCAGCGGGGTCAGTGAGCCTTTGGGGATTTCTATCCGCTGAAATGATGGCAAACCACAAACAATGTGCAAACCACCATCCTCAGGAGACCAAGTGTGCTGACACCTCCCGGGACAGCCTGGGTGTGGGTGCCCCCTGCCTCTGCTGGCTCTTAGCTGCTGGGGCCTCTCAGCAAATCCTGAGTCCATCTTCTTCTGTCTGAGGTTCAGTGGATGATGATAACTACGAATTTGAATTTCTGTAAGTAGGTCTGCCTCTCACACCTCACCCCAAAGTAATCTAACAGCATAGAAACCAGACAGAGGTTGATGAGTCACAGAAATGGAGACACACGTGGTCCCAGGCATGTTCAGAGAGGTGGCAGGCCCGGTGCTGCCTAGCACATTGCTGATCACGTTTGATGGAGGGCCCGGTACTGTCCTAACTAAAGGGTTGTTCGCGGAGCTGTTTTGTGGGCTGGGTGTCAATGGGTTGGCCCAAAAGGAGGAAGAAGGAAAAGGGAATCAAATAAGGCAAGTGACAAAGCAAGATGAGAAGTAGGTAGAATCTGTCGCACTGGAAACAAATCAAAATTGTGTCAGGAGTGGGGACTCATTTTCATTTGTTTGGATCGTGATGACATTTTTCATCTGTTTCTGTTTTTAGGGTATAGATGAAACTGTGGACACTGGGAACTGGTTTCAAGTGGAATCAGCCTGTAATAGGAACCCCTGAGAAGAATTCAGATCAAAGCGAGGAGGTGAGGGGGGCACCAGGAGGTGAGAGTGAGGCAGAGGGACTAATTAGTCCCACGAGAAGCAGTCCCTGGCTTCACAGGGAGCCCGTGCCACCGACTGCCTCGAGCAGTGCCCTCAGGGTGCAGAAAGCGGCTCGCCAGCCCCGACTTGGACGGTTTCTCTGGAGCGCACTGGGCACATGCTCATTCGCTGCCTTCTTCCGCCTGCAGGTGCTGACTTTGCTGGTTGAGTCTCCACCGCAGCCCTGGGGCCTCTTGCCTCTTCCCACTTCCTCCTCCTCGCTGCTCCTCATCAGAGAAGTCCAGGCTTTGCGTGTCTTACATCAGAGCTGGGGACAGCAGATGGCAGGCCATCGTGGCCATCTTTCCCTTTTGTGCTCTTGAAGTCGGAGCGGAGAGGCAAAAAGAATAAGGGGCCCAGAGCAAAGAAACGTCAGCATTTCCAGAATGAGCCTGCAATGAGGCTCCCCTGCAAATGTCACAGGAGCTAAGTCACCTTTCAGGGCAAACGCTGAACAGGACCGAATGGAGTTCTAATCCTACACATTTTCCTTGTTTCGTTAAATAGAGAAGGAAAGAGCCGGGCTGGCATGGCTCAATGGCTGAGTGTAGACCTGTGAACCAGGAGGTCGTGGCTCAATTCCCAGTTAGGACACATGCCCGGGCTGCAGGCTCCATCTCCACTGTGGGGTGTGCAGTACACAGCCGACCAATGATTCTGTCTCATCATTGATGTTTCTCTCTCTCTCTCTCTCTGAAGTCAATAAAAATGTTTGTTTGTTTGTTTTAAAGAGAGAAGGAAAGAAAGAGAAGAAAGCTAGATACTATTCCTTTAGTTGACATGGTGTGGAGAAGAATCTGAACTATGCTCACTACTTTTTAAATTGCAGTCCTGCGCAGCTCAGCTGGGTGGAGTGGCTCTTAGATTCCAACACTTAGAAGGAAAGAGATGAAAGCGTTTTGCAAAGGAAAAGAATAAAAAATAAAACGACTGTGGTCCAAAATTGTCTACTTTGACAAAAATTAAAGTTCAGTTCACAAGCTAAAGGACATTCTGTCAAAAGCCACGGCACCCCCAGCTAACACCCTACCACTTGCCTCAGCTCTGCCTAATTCTGTCACCTTTCGCCTCAGAATACGTGGTAAATACGAGTTCATTTTCATAGCTTTCTGACAGCTGGTCAGGTCATTCACGCGTGAAGTGATGACAGGTTGGGTGGCAGGTAGCAATCTCCCTTTGTTGCCACTCCCTTCCCACAGGCTGGGAAACTGAGGCAGAGGAGGCTTCGGGCTCTGGACCCAACCAGTGGTGTTCCAGGAACCAAGCCTTGAGCAGGGCGGTCGTCTCTGGGAAGTGGCTTTTTGATTCAGCAGCGGTACTTTCCAATGTCAGCACTTTGTGTCAACAGCTACGATGACTCCGTCCACAGGGCCCCTGGTTCTCGGTCTCCGCTGCCTCTCAGAAAAGTTCTCAGGGCGGTTGAAGACAAGGAGGTGGGGGAGGGGCAGGTAGGGCTTGACGGTTGGGTGCTTGACTGGATCTTAGCAGGAAAGGCGAGGGGCTCGGTGATTGTGAATGAACACAGCTACGGGGGGCTGGACTGGAAGCTCCGTGTTGTCCTTAAAACGCTGGTAAGAAGCTGGCAGGACCTGCACTAGCTCCCCGCTTGACAATGAAGCACCTCAATGCATGGCCAAGCCTGACCCCAGTCTCACTTGTCCTGCCTCCTTGGGTGTTCCACACGCCCTGTAAACTTGGAAAGGTTTGGGGTAGATTTTCTTGAGGTCTTACTTGTTTCCACCCTCCAAAGAGATGAGCAGGGCACTTATTCCTCGCTTGGTCAAGGTGGTCTTAGAGCAGCTGGGTAAGTCACTAACAGCTGGACTTTGATCGCTTTTTTAAGTGCTAGAAGAGAAAGATGTTTTCGCTGGGTAGAACAGATCAAATCAATGGATGCTTGTTTCTTCCCATGCTCACCATCTCGTGCTCAGTAGAGTGAGCGAACAATGACTGACACCACTCAATGAATGCCCCTCCCCCAAGGCAGGCTCTGTGTCTCAGCAGGAAACGAGGGGAGGGGGGTAGGAAGTGGAACTGGCATTTAATGAGTGCCTACTCTATGCTGGTCACTTTATACGAGTAATTTAATTTCATCCTCCCTCACAAGATCCTACTACAAGCATGTCAAACTCGCAGCCCACATGTGGCCCACAACGAATATTTTTGCGGCCCAGCCAATATAATAGTATGTAAAAAAGTTTTAATAAAAATTTCATAACTTAATTTTTACAATATCCTATTATACATAATTATTAATAATGAACTACAACATTTGCTAATGACTGATTACTATAATCGTGTTTCATTCATTTCCCTTACGCGCCTTGCGCGCAGATGCACCATTTCTCCCCACTAATACTAGCAGCGAATATTTTAGCCACCAATGGCCACGTCATTAGTCTTGGACTGACTTGTCTGGTGTGTGCAACAGGAAATATTTCACTTTCGGAGAACAAGAAAAATAGGTTTATTTATGTTATCCTTATTAATTTGTGCAGTTATTCAGTGTCTGGTAAGTTAATGTTCAAGAAAAAATATTCATTTTTATTAAAATGTTCTATTATTTTATATTAACAATGACTTATTTATTTCAGCCCTTTGTATTCAGCATGTCTCTATTGAAATAAACCTACGTTTTTATGAAAATTGAAGCTTTTAGTTTTTTTGTGGCCCACATACATTTAAACTTTGTTTAATTGGCCCGTGTTAGCCTTTGAGTTTGACATGCTTGCCTTAGACTCTCCCAGTGAGGAAGCCATGAGATCAAAATTTAAAACCCACGTTCTCTCCATGAATATTGTTTTCATGCTAAAGTGCGCATTTCGAATGAAGACGGACTTGACCCTGACCTCAGCCTACAGGATGAAAAGGTCAGCCGTCGGGGACTGTCTTCTTGTACAACATGGTTATCAGCAAGTTCTTCATGACAGGAAGGGTCAGAGGTCAAACTTGTTCCAAACCCTGTTTGGCTGGAGGATCTGATTCATTGAATGAACATCTTTCTTTCCAGGGGTGGGGGTGCAGGTCCTTGTGAAGTGGAATCAGCTTATGAAGGGAGATACTCTATAATTAGTGTGTTGAAAAATCCAATTAGAGTTTACCCTTATTCATTTGTTAGTAAATTAAGGGGTACCTTAAACTAGAAGGGCCTTCAAAATCATACGACTCTTACCCTTGTCATAAAATAATTACAGCCAAATTTATTGAGGGCTTATTATGTGCCAGGAACTGTTCTTTAGGTTTTATATGTGTCATTTAATCCTCTGACAATCCTGTGAGGAAGGTACTATTATGTTCTTCATTTTACAGATGAGAGACCAGATGAAAGGCACAGAGAGGTTAAGTAACTTGCCCAGGGTTACACAGGAAGGAAGTGGCAAAACTGGGATATGAACCTCCAAACCTGGGCGCCTATCTTCTACATTTTTGCGGCCTGTTGAGGGGAAGATTGCACAGAGATGGGAAGGGGCAATTATGTCCTTGGAGACCATTCTTCTTCCCTCATTTTCCATTTCTAGCATAATAGCAACCTTCTGCCACGGGACACACCAGGTCCCTTTATCCACACACACGTTAAGCTGCTAGCGAAGTCGACAGAGTTGAACTCCAGTCCTTCACGACACAGCGGTGTTCCTCTCGTCCCTTCTCCTGGGCTGGTCTTCAGCATCTTCCTCTTGTGATGGGAGCGGGGGTGACTGTAGACTCTCAGTTGTGGGTGCTCACCTTCTGCCATGGTCACTGTCCTGGACACACACAGGCAATAGAAAGCGGCAGAAGTCCACTCCTTGGGCACAAAGAACCCCACTGTCACCATCGTCCTCCCCCAAGAGAGCCAGGCAGTTTACCCACACTGGGTGCTGTGGTTGAGGCTAATGGATGTGGTCTTACGTTGTCTAAATATAGGGATGTGGAACTCTCTGGGGAGAGACCAGGCCCGCAGAGAAAGGTCGCTACGGAGAGGGGCTGAGCGAGGCCTGGCAGCCTCAGCTTTGAATGTGGCTGCTGAAACTCACATCTGCCCAGCCTTGCAGGTGTAAACCAGGATCGCAGAATTACTCACACCACTCAGATGTGTAAAGAAAACATGGTTTCCTTTTTCTCTAATGTCACCTTCTCAACCCCCTCGCACCCCCCTGCTGGGTCGCCAGAGGGGAAAACCTAATTTTAGTTCAACAGGTTTGAAAACTCAGTCACTCAATTATGTAAATAGTTTCTTTCAGCTCAACCCTGTGTCTTTGGGGTAAGGCTCAGCCTTTCGGATTCCTCCCTCCTTCTGCTGGTTTCTCTGTACATCAGCGATTTTCAAGCTTTTCTGTCTCATGGCACACCTGAACTAATTACGCAAGTTCTACACACACCAAACAATGTATTTTTTTGCTGATCTGACCAAAAAAAAAGATATAATTTTGATTCGTTCACACTGGACAGCTCTTGTTGTATTGGCTGTTGTCATATTTTGGTATTTGACAATCTAAGGGGAAAGAGGCCAGTGCCCTTGACTAAGTAGTCAGGTATTACATGTTTTAAAAATTCTTTCGGCGCACGGGTTGAAAATCGCTGCTGTGGATGGTGCTTTTGGCTCTGAGACCGGGCCTGGCTCCCACACCCCACGGCTGTGCCCTCTTAAAGGCGATGCCCTACCAGCCAAGGGATTCCATGGGGAATAGGAAGTAGCTCTCCTGTCCTTGATGTCCCCTTAATTTATTTCATTCTCCTTCAGGCAGAAACCTGGAGAGGAGCAGTTAGGAGAGGACAAGGAACTCTGGGCCTGATGTGGGGCTGTCTACTCCATCTCCTCTAGCATCGGCTGGAGAGGAGGCCTGCTGGCCGCTGCCACACACAAAGGAATGGCCTCTTTATCTTCAGGCACTCTTGAACTTCTAAAGAGTGTTGATTATCCAGTTTGTTTTTCAAGCTTGTTGTAACCAGGCAAAGCCTCAGGGCTGCAAAAAGAGGGTTGTAGGGAGGAACTCAAATACTGTGTTCCTGGGTATCGTCCCTGTTATATCTATGTATGGGTGATTGAAGGGGTGGAAGATTCTAGAATGTTTAAAAGCTCTCCTCAGAGGAGAGGCAGTGTGGTGCTGTGCTTAACGGCCTAGACTTGGATCCAGAATGGCTTCTGATATTTCCTTGTGATTCGGACAACTTGATTCATATGTGAACTCGGTTTCCCCATCTGTAAAATGGGACAATAGCAGTATCTACCCCATGGGGTGATTACAAGCTTTCCATCTGTTAACATAAAAAGGACTTTGACATTCTTTGTCTCCAGCACTATCTCATAGTAAGCTCACGAAAAATGTTCGGTATTTAGGTTCCGAATGCATATACCATTAGAGCTTAAGCCGCGGAAGCCTCTTACCTGTGATATAGGTCAAAGGGCGTGGATCTCAAAATAGACAGCCTAAGTCCCATGATCCCGAGCAAGGTTGTATGGCCCCTGCGAAGCGCGGTCTGAAAAACAAAGACAATATCACAGGATCGCTGTCACGATGAAATGAGGTGATGTACGTGAAGCACTTAGCAGAGTTTGGTGGAGTTTCTTCCTCCTCTTTCTCCTTATGTCAGCAGCATGCTTCCATAATTGTTCACCGTGATATCCTCAGCCAGGGATCTAAAGCTCTAAGCAGCCCCTGAGCGGCTCACACACAGGAGAAGCCCGTAGATGCAAAGGAGGCCCCCAAGGTGGGGCTCAAGACCCAGAACTTCTCCCCCATCCCGTGTGGCTGGTCCGAGGACATTCCTGTCTTCCTGTCCTCACAAGGGCATGCATTTCTCCCCTCTTTTTCAGTAAGTTACACTCTGGTCCGTCGGAGGCTGTGGCTGCTTTACTCACATCACTCAACCCACACTTGGAGAGCAATGTGTTTGCATAAATAGTAGCAGATGAAAAATTTTAAATATCACTTTTTCTCTCCTGGCACTCTGTGAGAGAAATGAGCAAATATAAACAGAAGGGTGTCACACCAGAAATACAGCAGATGGGTTCCTGCTGGAGACCCGGACTTTCCCGGAGTTGACACATTGGGGAAATTTAGGATTATGACAAAATCTACTTGTAATGCTTTCGCTTTCTTATTTCTTGGGCACAGCATTCGTGGCTTAATGACCGGGCTTAATGTACACTTGCAGTCCAAATCCTCCCTGGGGGAGCAAGCAGGAGGCTGTGGGCACTCTCTGGAGGAGGGAGTCCCTTCCGGAGCCTCACACAAATCCAGTGGGTTTTAGGGGTCAGGGAGGAGAGAGCAAGAGAGAGTTTATCTTCACTCCACGCTGCGAGGGCAGGAGGAAAAGGGAAACACTTCACTTCCCATGTCAGATGGTTTCGTGCTTGCGACCTGGAGCTGATTGTGGATAACCACACATGCCCCTGACCAATGCTGGTTTGGGCCTCCTCAGTTCTGGCAACACATCCTGAGAAACACATCTATCTATACCTGGGGAGTGGATCACAAACCATCCCTAACTCAGCTCGCGCCTCTGGGCCAGACTTGGTAAAATATTATTTTCACTCATTCATCCAACAAATTTTATTGAGCACCTACTATGGGCTAAGCACTGCACGAGGAGTGGGAATATGGGAATGAAAAAGACGAATATAATCCCTGGAAGAGCTCCTTACCCGCAGCTGACCCGGCTGACCCCTGGTCTTCATGAGTTGTCTTCAGGTTATGAAGGAGTCTGCCTGCCTGTAATGGTGACTTTTGGATCTCAGAGAAAGTTCCACCCTTAATTGATAAATTAATACTATTAAGTAATTTTTTATTACAAGCATGTTTATCTGTTAGGTTTAATAAGAGAGGCAGAATGATGGTAAGACCACAGACTTTAAAGACGGCCCTGGGTTCCAATCTAAGCTCAAACATTTAATAGCCATGTGCCGTGGGGAGAGTTCTTTTACTTTCTGTGGTTTCATGGCCTCATGTGCCAAATGGGGAAAAGAGCACTTAACTCCGGCCGCTTAAATGAAATAATGAAACAATCACCATGCAGGGCTTAGTGGGGAGCTCACTGTCTCCCGTTAAGCCCAGGAACTGGAGTCTGGGTGACACAGGACTCGCCTTAGTATGGAAACATCACTGGCCTGAAATATTTTTTTTAATTTTTTTTCTAAAATATATTTTTATTGATTTCAGAGGGGAAGGGAAAGGGAAAGAGAGATAGAAACATCAATACTGTCAGGGAATCATTGGTCGGCTGCCTCTTGCATACCTCACACTGGGGACTGAGCCCATAACCTGGGCATGTGCCCTTGATCGGAATCAAACCTGGAACCCTTCAGTCTGCAGGCCGACGCTCTATCCACTGAGCCAAACCAGCTAGGGCTGGCCTGAAATATTTAATGACAGCCACACAACTATGCTAAATGATCAATTATATCCATAGCCCCCTCTACCCATCCTGACTGATGCCAACTCTCTCTGCTTCTGCTGCCCTAACTCTGCAGCTCAGAAGATGCCCCTCCAGCAAGTGACCCGCCCAGGGAAGCCCAGAGGAAATCAGAATCTCCAAAAGGAAATCAGAGAAGAGACAAGAAGGCGTTTTATAAATGTTTTAAAACGAGATCCATTTTACTGTTATTCTTACTCATCGAAAATATCTGTTCTCTGCAGGATCCTTGAAAATGCTGGGCCGAATATGGAACTTGGGGGCCACATTTAGCAGGGAAATGCACAGCTGGATGCTGGTGACACTGCCTTCAGCCATGGCTATGTCCTTCAGGACCCTGTACTGAAACCCCCCAGGAGTGACACTGGCAGCTCCCTCTGGTTGTCTGTCCTGCGGGTCCCTCCGCTAGCTCTCAGGTTACCCATCCAGATATTGGTAGGATTTACCCCATGGCTAAGTGGTGGGGCTGATGTGAAAATCTCCAAATTCCGTATATTAAAGAATTATAGTTTTAAAAATGCAAAATAAACACAATGCCCAAAACACTGGGGAGAATTCAGTCAACTCTATGCCTTATGAGTCAGCCATAATAATTATGGGGACATCATTTCCCATGTGATCACAGGGAAAGACAGTAAGATACATTTAGCAAAATGCAGCACACACAATTCTATATACAGAATGACAGCAACTGGGTTAAAAAAAATAAACCTACGCCTAGAAAAGGACGAGGAGGAAACACACTACACTGTGAACATTTTGAGTGTTGGGACGATGGCTAATTTTTTGTTTCTACTTTTAATTTTATAACGAGCATATATTATCTATAGTGTCTTTTTTTTTAATTTTAGTAAATCTTTATTGTTCAGATTATTACATTTGTTCCTCTTTTCCCCCCCCATAACTCCCCTCCTTCCAGTTCCCACCCCACCCTCCACCCTCACTCCCACCCACTGTCCTCATCCATAGGTGCACGATTTTTGTCCAGTCTCTTCCCGCATCTCCCACACCCCTTTCCCCATCAAGAATAGTGAGTCCATTCCCTTTCTATGTCCCTGATTCTATTATAATCACCAGTTCATTCTGTTCATCAGATTATTTATTCGCTTGATTCTTAGATTCACTTGTTGATAGATGCATATTTGTTGTTCATAATTTGTATCTTTACCTTTTTCTTCTTCCTCTTCTTAAAGGATACCTTTCAGCATTTCATATAATACTGGTTTGGTGGTGATGAACTCCTTTAGCTTTTCCTTATCTGTGAAGCTCTTTATCTGACCTTCAATTCTGAATGATAGCTCTGCTGGATAAAGTAATCTTGGTTGTAGGTTCTTGGCATTCATCACTTTGAATATTTCTTGCCACTCCCTTCTGGCCTGCAAAGTTTCTGTTGAGAAATCAGCTGACAGTCGTATGGGTATTCCCTTGTAGGTAACTGAGTTTCTTTCTCTTGCTGCTTTTAAGATTCTCTCTTTGTCTTTTGCTCTTGGCATTTTAATGATGATGTGTCTTGGTGTGGTCCTCTTTGGATTCCTTTTGTTTGGGGTTCTCTGCGCTTCCTGGACTTGTAAGTCTATTTCTTTCACCAGGTAGGGGAAGTTTTCTGTCATTATTTCTTCAAATAGGTTTTCAATATCTTGGTCTCTCTCATCTTCTGGCACCCCTATAATTCTGATGTTGGTACGCTTGAAGCTGTCCCAGAGGCTCCTTATACTACCTTCGTATTTTTGGATTCTTTTTTCATTTTGCTTTCTGGTTGGGTGTTTTTTGCTTCTTTGCATTTCAAATCTTTGCCTTGATTCTTGCGCTCCTCTGGTCTGCTGTTGGGAGTCTGTATAATATTCGTTATTTCAGTCTGTGTATGCTTAATTTCTAGTTGGTTCTTTATCATAACATCGAGGGTCTCATTAGATTTCTTGAGGATCTCAGTAACTTTATCGGCGGCTTCTAGACAGTTCTTGAGAGACCTTAAAAGTGTGGTTCTGAACTCAATATCCTCCATTGACAGTTTTGTCCTGTTTCTTTGTCTCCGCATTTTTTATGCTTTCTTGGTGCACCCCCTAGTGGTCTTTGTGCGCAGTCTTGTTGTAGTTAAGCCTTGATTGTTATAGTTAATACTAGGGGGATTTGACCTCCAGGCCAACTGGCTGTGAGAATCAGCTGTCATCTATAGTGTCTTAAAAAGCATTTGAAATGAAGACTTCTGAGGCCAAGAATATGGATTTCCCTGAGATGATTTTCATGAATCATTTCCAGAGAGGTTTATCAGTAAGTAATTCACTGGCTGGCTCAGCTGAATGTAGGTCCAAGTGAGCAGACATGGCTCTTAAGGAACTTAATGGGGATCTGATCTTTTTTTTTTTAATATATTTTTATTGATTTCAGAGAGGAAGGGAGAGAGAGATAGAAACATCAATGATGAGAGAGAATCACTGATTGGCTGCCTCCTGCACGTCACCCACTGGGGATCAAGCTCTCAACCCGGGCATGTGCCCTTGACCGGAATCAAACCCAGGACCCTTCAGTCCACGGGCCGATGCTCTATCCACTGAGCCAAACTGTCCAGGGCTGGTCTTTCTTTATAGGACCTGTAGTTTTCTTTCTAGCTACCAAGCCTTGGTAGTTTCCAGTCTCCCCCTTCTTCTTGATGCCAAGCTTTGCCTTCTCCGAGTCGTGGATCTGATGGTACACGTATGCGGGATAGGGGTGAGGGCTGCCCGAGATGAGCCTATGGGCTGAGTCCAACCAGTGAAGCAGAACGTGGCTTCAGGCTTAAAGACACACACCAACTTGTTTTGTCTTTTCCTGTGTTTAAGCAAGTCCCTAAACTCCCTGGGTTTTAACCTAAAACAAGAACCAGACAGCCTGTGACCTAACCCTATCGTCCTCCTAATCTGAGACAGCCTGCCCCCGGGACATTTGATCATTTCTTTTCCCATAACATTCTCCTGGCAGCCACACCTTAGCGACAGTCTCTGCATCTGAGCCCTCGTTCCTCGCACACGTGGTTTTACTTTCTGGTGTGGGGGTTCAGACGGAGCCACCACAAGGTGTGTAGATTACTC